TTTAACCCAATTTTCACCCTATTCTCCTAGGCTCCATATGAATATTGCTGCCCGATCTAAGTTTTCGGATCTTCCCTTCAGGTATTCCTGCCAATATTTGATATATTTTTACGTTTCATAATTGTCATATGCCGTGCCCATTCAAACCACTCACATTTAATCAATGTAACAATAAGTTTAGTTGGCTGAAATACGAATTATAAACTTCTAATTATGTAACACTCCCCCACCTTGTAACGTACACTTTGCATCCAAGTTTTACGCTCAAGTGCACTCAATTTATGTTCTTTCCTTAAAACAATTGACCAATTATTACACTAATACAAAACGTTGGGGCTCATGCCAGTAAGAGAAACTTAAGTTCAGTGACGGATTAGGGGTCTCAGACGGGTCCCATTGGGTTTGCTTTCTGTTTATAATCGTAAATAAAATCCATACTCAGCTAGACTTACAAATTATCTTTGTAATGTAAAGATGTTTGGACGTGAATTTAGTTTTAGTGTCTATAAATTCAAAAACAGACATTATGTACTAACTTTATGAACTGGAACTAAAGTGGGGTTTGTAGAGAAGCCTAAATGTTAGCATTCATGTTCTCTCAATTTGTAAGAACAATTCAATCACCTTCATTAACAATCCGATGTTTTCGATGAAAAAAAATATTAATTTGGCTAATTACAATTCTAAATGTCGATAAATAAATCAGCCGTAGGCCGTTGGGTTATGTTCTTCTTGGCTATGACAACGTACAGTCTGGTAGGTGGTTATTACGTTTCGGAGGAACATGTTGATTCCATCTTCACTTAATATTTTTTTAGTCTGAATAAGATACTGAACATTCTTTTCCATCATAACCAGAACTCCACGCATACTTTGAGATTGGGGGCAATACATTCATTTAAAAGGCTGATAATCACCTGCGAATCTGCATGGTGTCATATTTCAGAAGAGAAATCCCAAATTTTGACCGCCATGAAAACCTTAGTCAGTCATGTTAAAAATCATGACGTTATTAATTTTGCTCTGCATGACAGATGGTCTATTGCAAGGTTCGTATGTAGAATGTAATGCGTCCTAATTGTAAGCGTACTGGCTGGAGATATTTGAAATGCTGGAAATCGGTGTAAGTAATACATTTCCTGGACAGCTCTCTTTACATATTTTAGAACTTGTGTAAATAAACTAACTGTTTACATTCCAATGCACACACTTATATATGAAGTTAACACGAGAGGGATGAGCAAAACTGAAGTTGGTCCACAATTCCATTCAATATATATTACTTAAAAATTCTTACCTAGCTTTCTTGATACTTGCTGATGTACTTATCTTAGCAGGACCAAAACACAACTAAATTCTTTATTCCCTGCAGCCTTTCTCATACAAAATGTAGAGACCTCTTCCGACAACATTATAAACGACTGATCGGATGAATAAAATGAAATTTCCCCTCAAATTTCGAGTCTGTTCGCCTTCTATTACGAAATGAATTTCTATTATATACGCAATTCAATTCTCAATTTCGGTAAACTGTATTTAAATACAGACAACATATTGCAGGAAATCCAAAATTATGTAAGTGCATTATAGAAGAAATTCTATTTTAAACACACAGTAGAAAGGGTTCTGAGCTCTAATAACAGCAAGAAGTGAAAACTGTTGTGAGTCAAGAAGAGATTCAAATTGTGACGAAATTCCGACGAAACGGTTTCCGAAATATGAACAATATTGTGTCTGGTCATTATTATGAAAAGACTTTTATGAAATTTTATGCACTAAACAGTCAGTTAAAGTAACACCAGGACCGCGACTATTCTCAAAGAAGACGGAGCCGAAAAAACAACAAACCTGCAATGACGTAACGAGAACGGGACTGTCAAAACGACCACAGTTCTCTGCCTGTCCTCTCCAGTTCAAATAATAATAATTCTCAGTTTTGACATTTCCGTTAGCTGTTTTCCTTGGCGGAAATGATTATTTTTGCCAGGGCCTAAAAATACATTTTATTAGAAAGAAATTCCCCTTCCTTGCTCATTTCCGTGTCTTGGTTTCGGTTCAAATAACAGATTATAATAAATATATTTTTCATAATTTTAGTGACGTAAACTCTCTAATCTTCTGTGTTGTAACGCCATACAATATTATTGGAAGATATCAATTTTAGGAGAATATATTGCTCCTATCTTCAGGGTTAAAACGTCCCTGAAAATTCCTCCGAAAATTTGATGTCCACATAGAAGACTACACGGCGCCACAGCCCAGAAGACCGTACTTTCAACAGTCACTATTGTAAGACACCCAAAATTTCAATGTCTACTTAGTTCCAATATTTTTATTCGTTCTGACACAAAACACAATTAAAATTCCGTGATATTCCGGTCTCTAACATAATCATTACAACATTTGGTGGGATTTTCCCGTACTTTAGTTAGGACCCCAGTTTTCCAACATACTAAAAGCGACAATCGCATAGCCTGACAACATATTTCCTTATACGGACTTAAAAGAAGAGCCAGTGAATCGTAAAATGTGATTGAAAATGTAAAAGTATTAACGCCCGATTCTATGCACTTTAATATTTTAACATTTATAGCTAGGCAACGGCGCGATAAACACCTCTTTTAAGCGCACAAACAATAGGACGAATGTTTATAGCTGGTTGCTAGTCAACAGTCAGCTCGCCAATGGACTGGCGAGATAGCTATCACGTGACTCGTTTTCAATGTGCCCGCGCCACGATTAGTGTTAAGCAACATAAGCTGTAAACATGCATCCTTAATAATAGGAGACGGTGTTTTCCATAGGGTCAGTGCAGAGGAGTTATCTTGAAGAAAATCGCCGCTATGACTCAGTCAGTTCTCGGTAGGAGATAGTCACGGGAAGTTCATAGTAGAAGATGATTTAGAAGTCGGCTTGTGAAGACATAGCGTATGATATGGAGACTTTATATGTGCTATAGTTACAGTAATCTTGAGATTTTAGTTACGAATAGTGAAGATCCAATAAACCGATTCACCAATCAAAATCCGCGTCTTAGTCACTCAAACACGTGACAATATCTTAGGTGAAATTATTTTACTTCTGGACTATTCGGGCATGTACTCCATCTGAAATATGTCTGCAGATGGCCTTGTGACCATATTGGAAGGAATTCATTGCGAAGCCAAACAAAATCAAGTTGTTGTATCTCCTGGATTGTAGCACGTGCATTTACTGACTTCATGTTGTGAATTTCGGTATTTCTCCATCCGGGGACCCTTTCTTAAGGGGAGGTGTTAAGCACTGACTCGACAGTGATAATTTTGTAAAATTACAGTACATTTTCTAGCCAGCTAATGAACCTGTAGGTTTGAAATTTGGTACACAAGTACTTATTGTTTCCAATATCTAGTGACCTTTTTCATATTAATACAAATATAAATATATTTTAAGAATATTTCTTCCAAAAGATGAAATTTTTGATAGAAAAATATTTAATACCACCATGATTTTATATGCCTTACTTACTTACTTACTCATGGAGCTGAGCCCTTCTGAAGGAGCCGCCAATTCTGCAGCTACTCAAGAAATTCCCAGCATTTTATGGAACCCGAAAGTTCATTACCGTCTTCACAAGAGCCCTCCACTGGTCCCTATCCTGAACCAGATCTATCCAATCCATACCATCCCATCATATCTCTCTAAGATCCGTTTTAATTTTGTCCACCCACCTACGCCTTGGTCTTCCCAGTGGTCTCTTTCCGTCTGGCTTTCCCCACCAGTATCCTATATGCATTCCTCTCTCCCCATTCGTGCTACATAACCTGCCCACCTCATCTTTCTTGACTTGATCATTCTAATTATACTTGGAGAAGAGTACAAGTTATGAAGCTCCTCATTATGCAGTTTTCTCCATTTACTCGTAATATCTTCAAAGATAATTTATTTTGACATAATTGACACATTGACATATTGATTGCAATAGAAAGACGCGTTGTGAAAATTTGTGAGAAAATTATAATGCAAAGAGAAACACATGGAGGGAAATCCAAGCTACTTAACTGTTCTGTCACTGTAGAAATTTCTCTACCCGATGCAGAAATTATTTGAACCCCGGTAATCATAAAATATTCCATTTCCATTACATAAAGATGCATAATGGAGAAGTGGGCGTGTTACCAGAATGTCACTGGACATTTAATGAAATCCGTTTTAATGCCGTTGTATGAGATAAAAGAAGACGTAGGATCAGAAATCTGACTGCTGATAATCAAAATTAACAAAAAACACAGATACCATTCTTTTGACCTAAATAGTCTTACAATCTCCTCTTCAGATTCTAATAGTCCAGCAGCCGATCAACAATTCCCTGCCTTTCAAAGGACACCTAAAGTTCATTACCGTATTAACCACCGTCAACAACTGACCCCACATGGCGCCAAATGAGCCGAGTCCACATTTTAACATAATACAGCTTTAAAGACCATTCTAATAATTTTTCCATACATGACTTGGTCAACCAAAATGTCTCTTTCCGGCAGGCTTTTTGGCAATAATTTAATAATGTCTAAACACTGAGTGGAATATTTTTGAACATTTTAGTCACCTGAAATTGAATTTCTGTATCCCTTAAATTAATAGACATCCCATCATGTGCATTTTGATTCAGATATTCGTCGTTGGTGGAAATTATTCGCTTACTTATGTCAGTATCAATTCTAATGCCGAGCTGCCCAGGTTTCAGATCTTTAAATTGTCGTTAGCAAAAACATATTACCATGTTTCTTGACTCTGACCACATTCAAAGGAACCAAGTCAACATAAAATGGATATACTTTTGTTCACTGTTGAAATGGATGACAGGGAAGTTATAAATATCTTTTCCGAAATATCTAGAAATATTTAAATATTCAGAGAGAATCTGTTCCAATTCTGACGTACATTCTATAAAGTAATGGTGTCAAGAAAAATACTGCGACCAGTGTCAGTGACTATAGACGAGGTTTGGACTGGCGACTCGATTTATTGCACAACTTAACACATGATTCATGACTACATTTTACACTTCATTGTTATATACACTAGTGTTCTCAGTTGTTATAGTCTGCGTTTGTCATTGCCTGGTAATTGCTACCAATGGTGGACGTTCCCCTTACTCTGGGTTCCCGAGCTATCCCAGTGCCTCAGCTACCAGCTTCTCACAGCAGCAGCTCACAACTACTGAATTGCATTCTCTGAATAACTCATTAACTAATCAAACAAATCATTTCCCCGCAATGCACTGCACTGACTAATTGTCCTGCTTATAACGCCTAGGCACGGACTGTATTGAAGACACCGTTCCTCTGTTGCTCTATCCATAGACCGCGTAGAATATACCGCTTTTAGTCAGTCCCTTGGCTCTTGTTATAAATCTGTTGCCTAGCAACGAACATTGTTTATAAAGTCATTACGGGTCCATATTCTCCCTAATATTATTGACACGATTAAATCCTGAGGATTTAAAGCGAAAATCCATTTACGAATGTGTAAAAATCAATCTAGAGTTGGGTTTTATTCGGCAATGGAGTGCTTGAAGACTACAGGCCACGGAGTATTATAAATATATTAAAATTAAACAATACTTGTATAGTGTAATATCTCAAGTATCGATAAGAAACATACATTTGATGTCATCCAGTTTCAAGCAACATTTTGATGTCTGTGTATGAAAATAATTCTCTAAGTTTCTCGAATCATGGGAACGTAAACACAGTTAGATATCATACTAAATTTATTTCTTCATTTGGTTAAAGATTTATTTAAGTTAGACTACACAAAGAAAATCGCAATTTTAACCACAATAGAAAAGACGAGTGAAAAGTCTGAAAATGTCTCACCAAACGACGATAATTCTGCTTCCTGTCCACAATTAAAAACAGATTAACTTTTACAAAATTTCACAGACATCTGACGGAAGCCATTGCTGATGTCTTAATTCCTGATACATTTATTTAAATGCTGCATAGCATGTCTGGGTCACTGCAAATAGTTGAGGCATGAATAAAACACAACATAAATTAATTTTCTTTAACTATGATTCTGTAAGTTGTGTAGATCCTAAAATCGAACAGTCCCATACTCCGCTTGGTTCGCCTGAGCTGTCGCGCCTGTCCTAGTCACACGTGACGTTAACTCTTCTTGATTCTTTGGTTTCTTTCTTTTATATAGAGAAGATGAATAACCCAGACTTGAAAATATCTTCTAATGTTATATTTCGTCTAATTCTGTTCATGTCCTCATTGACTTGGGTATTTTTACGACAGAATTGGGATTTAAATTATAAAAATTTGATCCATTCAAACAGTGAACAAAAATAAAACCAAGTTCATCCAATTATTTTCATGTTTTTTTTTCTTAATACTTGCACTTCAGAAGCATTTGCAGTCACATATTATAACTTCTTGAAATTGAGTGAAATTGGTTTGTCAAATAAACAAACCACATTGAATGTAGGTTCAGATTATACAGCAGGCAGCCTCACTTATATAATCATTATAATAGGGCGAAAAGTTTAGAAAAGTATACTAAATCCTTAAACATTTTGATTTGTATCTTATTGTTTCATAATACTGTCGGGTCATAATATTTGTATCGCTAACATCAGTGAAACGTGATCTTATTTAGTTAATCCTTAAGAATTATGGAATGTGAAATTTAAACGAAGCGATATTCTAGCTGTTATGATGTCACCATAGCACCCATGTTACGAACAATGAATTTCTTCACAACCTTGACACTTCTTACACACATCACCTCTTTCATAGTTTCAAGATAAAATATTTAAATTGGAATTTTTCAGTTCATTGGTGATGAATTGTTAGGTGTTTTCGAATGATACGCATTCGCAATAATTTTACTGACTATGAAAGTCTTTTCCTTCTGTTTTAATTGCAATCCTCTTTTTCTCTAACTTTTCTTACACAGAATTTGTTTCAAAACTTGTGAATTATGTTCGTTTAACTTAACTTTCTCACTTTAAACTGAGTCCTAAATTACCCGTATATATACATAATGTCACTTTACTTTGGTTCCTTGTGATTATAATCTCTCATTAACTTGTTATCTGATCAGAGGCAACGAAAGCCTCGTTTTCATATTCTTGTGATGTAATTGGGGCTGTGTCCTTGGGTTGTGATGCATCATTAACCACGTCCTTTTCTGTATCATCTAGTGGAGAGTTCTCGTTGCGAAACTTCTCGAATCTAGTAGAAAGTCCCGGCTTTGATGCCTTGTCCAGAATCAGACTTTTGGTCGTCTGTTTAATCTGTGTGTAAAGTTCTGGAGTGATGACTGGAAGCGAACCTCTCTTCTTCCCCTCTGAGACACCGTCCCCATCAAACTTCTCATTGTTTACTTCAAACGCAGATGTATTCACTTCCGTTTCCGGCTTGGAATTAACTTCATCCTTACAGCCACTGTTCTGTTTTTCGCCTGTGTGTGTTTTCTCTAACGGAGTTGTCAGACTTTCGGTAGGGATACCATCTTGATTATCGTCCTCCATTTTGTCGTTCACAGGAGATGACGTGGTGCCTCCGTTAGCGACTGCCAGTGTGCCTGTGCCGTTTCCGAGTTGCCTCTGTTCTTCCTGCAGAAGGTCGTCCTCCTGCTGCCGCCTCTCTATTGCTTGTATGTCGGAGAGCAAGCGGTTGTTGACTGTTGTCGCGTCAATGCTATATCTCCCTCGCATCTCTGTGTTGCTGCTCTTGTCGTTACCGTCAGTGACGGAAGATGCCCTTGTCATTGCAATCGCCACAGATGTGTTCCTCCCTGGAACAGCTAGTCTAGCACTATCTGCATTTCTTTCTGCTTTCCCATCACTAGAGGCGTAACCAGCATACTGGGGATAACCAAAATGTCCTCCTTCGTATCCTACCTGATTACCGTAACGGTAACTCGGGTTATTGGATCCTGACGATGATATGCTAAGATCTGACTGGGAGAGGCCTGTGTTCGTTTTCATACTTCCATCATGACTATCCTCGACTATTTCTTCACGAGTGACATTCTTTTCTGTTGTATCTTCGTCTTCTTCTTCCTCATCGTCATCTATTTCTTCTAGTTCTTCGTCTGAAACTTCGTCTACGTCGATATCAGGAGGTCGATGGACCTGTGCTCTCTGGCTTGAAGACCTTCTGCTGCTGTCCTCCTCGTCGATGTCTTCCTGGGAACTGACCGCGGATGATGACAGCTTGAGGTAGAGTTCGGCGTCGCTGCTCCTCGCAGCACCGCCTTGCTGCACCTCAACCACGAACACGGTGTTCTCGTGTGGAGACGCCGATGCTGTGAACTTCGTCGTCGTCATTTTGGTGTTCCCATCTTCTAAATTCACCTGTAAAAACAAGGCATATTTGTAACGTAGAATTCTTCATACCACCATTTATGTGAATTGATGTGTAGGCTATGTGTGTATAAGTCTGCATCCTCGCGCGGACTACATGTTGTCGTACGTCTTAAATATTAATCGGCAGACGTTTATACATATGTGATATTTTTCTATGGGGTATATGAAATCCCAAGATTCCAAAGCTCCATCACCCCAAACAATTCAGGAGTTGAAACATTGAATTCGGGAAGAAGTTGAACGAATTCCCGTAGAGATGCTGCAAAGAGCAATGAGTGACTTTAGGAAAAGACTTAGCGAGTGCCTACAGCGGAAGGGTGGTCATCTGATGCTATTTGTGGGAAATAGACTTCTGTTCTCAGTGAGTTAATTGAGAAAAACCAAATGCTATTATATTTAGGCTGTATTCATACGTATTGGAACTATAACGCTTTGACGTAGGCTGCTGGGTGACCTTAGTGGCATCTTCTCCCCTACAATCAATGCAGAAAAAAACACCAGTGCTAAATCACCCGATTCATTGACGCATCCTGTATTTCCATTGATATTTTCCTATTAATACTTCGTAAAATTGAATTGCATGTTTCATTAATAATTTGAATCACGATAGTCACTACATGTACCGTTTATTTTGATGTCAAGGAATTCTCTTGTTTCCTAAATAGTGTAATTTTTTAAGAAAGGGCTTTTATTTTTCTAAGCAGCATTAACAGATAGGTCTTTGCACTAGAGACACCGTGTGTTTCCTTCCAGATAGTAACACGATTTTTATGCAGAAGTACTATTCAGATGAAACCCATGTTTCGGCACTAATATACAGTTTAAAGCCAGTATCTGAAAACTGCAACTCATTCAGGGACTGAAAGTCTCAGAACTTATTCTCATACCTCAGATTCTCTATCAACATATTTAATTCAACGGAATTATAAATAACAACAATGTACCAAATATTTTTGTAACATATTTCAATATTTTCATATTGTTGTTAACCTATGAATTACACTAAATGTATTCAATATGTGTTCAGATTGTTAACAAATAATTTCCACTTCGAGACCTACATAAACTACACACACTTTTATTTAAAATTTCCCTGGAGCATGTACAAGGATAAAGACGCAGAACTGCGGATGAATGGAAAAGAACTGAGAAACACAGCATCTGTAGAAGAATAGTGACACTGGTTTGAAAAAACTCAGGGCACATAAAGTATAGGGGCAGATTTCGCACTTCAGATTAAACAATATACTCTGACATGTAGACCCGTTGCTAGGGAATACCTCAGCAAATAAACACGTAACAATAGAATCGGTGGCGAAATTAGTCTTTTCTATATGGTTCTCATATATCCATTGCTAGGCAACCGATGTGTTTTTTTTTGTGGTCCAACGAGACTCTATAACGAGCAACTGACAGTTCAGTTGTCAGTTGGAAGTCGGCCGGTGAAGAGAAGAATTAGCATGACAAAGGAAGATTCTATATGTGCTGTAGTTACAGTGAGACTGTTATAAATATGTTGTCAGAATACGACTAGTGAAGACTGAGAAGACTGCGTGCCCTAGTGATTTGTGAAGTGAGTAGATAAGCGATAGCACCATAACTTATTGTGATAACAAGCGATTGTAAAAGAGTGATTAATAAATTCAATCATCCAATCCAAAACCCGTTATTATTAGTCATGCAGCCATAAACACGTGACAATATATATAAGATATTTTATCAATATATGAACGCATAAGAAAATAAAATAAGAGCCTTGTATAATTTAAATAATTATTAATCTAATGAGTATCTAACAGATTAAAATCTGGAAAATAAATCAATAAACAACATATGTATGTGTATGTAACATATATCCTGTATTTATTCATCTGCAGTTAAGGATTTGGTAGTACGTTCTAATTCAAATTAATCTGATAGGCCTCCTTGCACTAGGGATGGGAGGATAGAAAGATATCTGCCTGTATATAAAAACTCAGCGTAGAAACATGGGAACATAACCCACGCTTCAAGTGTTAATTTAAATCGTCGTGACCATTATCTGAGAAGTCAGAAACAATCCGCTACCACTGGGGCTGCCTACGTTTATAACTGGCTGACTATCGGGAATTCTTCTGAGTCTGGCTTGAAATATACTGTACTGAAATAATGTAACTGGTTATTCTGTATCACACACAATTAAAAATGTACTTCTTTATGCATATATTAAATTCACGCTCTGCGAAAAGTTACAGTAAACAACATAAACAATCTAAAAACATGAAAATCGTAACTTATGCATGCAAATGGGGACACCGCAAGAGACAAGCAGGCAATTATTATCTTATAAATAACAGAATTTTAATTAATAGACTTAATTGGATTCATTATGTCGAAAGAATAGAACCTGACCGAATTCCGAAACAATTAATGAAATATACACCCAGGCGAACAAGATCCATTGGATTTCTGAAGTTACTTTGGAAGGGTCAACTTGGAGGAATAGAACGGACAGAAGGGTCCAAAATTTAAACTTGATGATTATTATTAATGCAGAACAAAATTATGAGACATCAAATATATTTTGTATTACTCATTGTCGGGGGCACGCTGTAGGGTAGTGGTTGAGGGGCTATGCTACAAGCAGGAAGGTCGCGGGTTGAAGTCCCGATGACGTAATTGGATTTTTTCAATTGACCTAATCCTTCCAGCCGCACTATGGCCACTATGGCCCAGGGGTTCACTCAGCCTCTAACAGAAATGAGTACCAGGAATTAATTAAATAATTTTCCTGGAGAGTAAAGTGCGGGCGGGGCGTAAGGCTGACAAANTCCTCTTTTATCCGATTGTCGTGTTAATGTGGGACCCTCAACGTTTCACAACCCTATGGGCCTTCACGGCCTGGTACAGGGATTGCTTTACTTTACTCTTTTTACTTCTATTACTCATTGTCGGGACTCTGTACTCTGGTAAGTTTTGTAAATGTATAATAGACAGGTTTGCACATAACCATCGAAAGGACACATCCATTCGCTTCTATATTACGGGCCTAGCCAGCAAACTGAAATTCGCTTCCCTGACCACTTCGGGTGAGATGAAATCGTACGAAGATTAACGAAAGGAAACCTGGTCCATCTCCCCAAGCAGGGGAAGGGAGGATGCATGTGGCCTTGATTACACGCTAAAATGTTAAGAACATGACAATATTCACATCCTTATTATTCGAATTGAATTATTTATATATGACTTCTGTTCTTTTCGTTTCTAACTACGGAAGCAATATTTCCCTTGCTTCCATGCACGGCACGCCACTGGAATATAGAGATCTATAGTTTTGCCTGTGGTTTTGTATGTGTGTGAAACTTGGTCTCTGACATTAAGGCAGGAACATAGACTGGGGGTTTTGAGAACAGGGTTTTAAGGAGAATATTTGGACCGAAGAGGCATGAAGTGGCAAGAGGTTGGAGAAAACTGCATAATGAGGAGCTTCATAACTTGCACTCTTCGCCAGATATAGTTAGAATGATCAATTCAAGGAGGATGAAGTGGGCAGAGTATGTAGCACGAATGGGGGAAGAGTGGTGGGAAAGCCAGATGGAAAGAGATCACTGGGAAGACCAAGACGTAGGTGGGTGGACAATATTAAAATGGATCTTAGAGAGATAGGATGGGATGGGATGGTATGGTTTCGACTGATCTGGCTCAGGATAGGGATCAGTGGAGGGCTCTTGTGAACACGGTAATGAACCTTCGGGTTCCATAAATTGCTGGGAAATTCTTGAGTAACTGCACAATTGGCGGCTTCTCAAGAAGGGCTCAGCTCCATGAGTGAGTGAATAAATGATTGCATTAGAAGTTGCGCTGTTGTTGAATTTATCTCTTATTTAATTTACTAACGCAAGCGATGCTCGTGATGTCTGCAACAGCACACGTCTAGCGAAATGGTACTCGCTTCAATTAATCTGCCTAATTGTCTCTTCAAGCTCCTAAATGAGGGAGATAGACTAAACTATTCATATGTGAAGGCGACAGCAATAAGACCTGCCTCATATACCGTATATATCGAGCCATTTGTTTATGCATTCAGCGTCACTGCTAAATGCGAGAGAATTGTCTGCTTTGTGATACATAAAGGACCTCTCTCTTGTGTTTGTAGGATATGTTTAGCGCAGCTGTAGTGTGGAAGTTATGACGAAACTAACTGTTCGATTTAATAAGGCTGTAGTTTCGTATCTAGAAGCAAAAAGGGACGGAACTATGCAGGACCTGAGCTACTCGCAGGGGTGGTTATGAAGTTCACATCTTCTCGGATATAACTCCTCGTGGTCCGTCGAGCTTCAGCCACGAAAAATTCGCTCTCAATGTGTAGAATCTCCCCTATTTTCATAACAGCTTTCATTCAAAATTGGACTTCAACGGGCTATGTGGCGTCATATCCGAGAAGATGGAAGTCTTCAGAATAAAATTGCTCGCATATCCATAAGCAGGGTTGCCACTACTAGTGAAGCACTTGCACAATCCCAACTCTCAGAGCGCTCTTGTCCTGGTGTATCTTATTCCTTGGATTACATGACATACGAGTAGAATATGGAAAGATTGTACAGACCTGCACAATGGAGAAATTTAAGCGAGAAGTTCATTGAAAAGGAGATCACAGTGGCCGCGCTATCTAAGGCATAAACTGTATTCGCTCGCTTGCACTCTGTGATCATGGATTCGAATCCCACTCAAGACATGGATGTCTGTGTGTAGGTAACGGCCCTGCGACGGGCTGATCCCTCGGCCAAGCAGTCTTTGTGAAAAAGATAACGAAACTGAAGAAGAGGCCAGGGCCCAACAAGTGACTGTAGAGCCTCTGATGAAGCACGAATGAAACACGAGGCTGAGTACCCGGCATATGCTATTGAAGACGATTTTCATAGACTCTGCTTAAAATAGGCCTCGGTATAGGAACAGAAGCTTTCGAATGAACTTCCTACTGTCTCTAATTTGGTTAAAGAGAAATGGCTTCGTAATTTAAGAATCTACTACAATATTCCGGTCAATGAAATAGAACACACAGCCACAGTCATATAGCCATGACGTCTGGAAGGATTCGAGTCTAAGTACAGCAATAAACTGAGGTTTTGTAGACATGAGCCTCTTACGGATCGATCTGAACTTGTCTTGTTTCGCAAAATGATGCCAAAAACAAACTCCGTGACTTTAGTCCGCAAGCGAACTATACCGACCGAGCCACCGCTGCTTGTCGGCGAAATTTAGTGCCAAATTTTGCGGATAGAGGGTGTCGCGTGGTCAGCGCAACGGTTTTCTAGACCGGAGCAGCTATTTCCTTGAAATAGTTCCTCAGTTATCATAAGTAGGCTGAGTGGAACCCGTTCCAGACCCACTGCTTCCCCGAAAAAATCTGGTAGCGTCTGGATCTGTAGCCAGGACCACTAGACCACAGAGGCGGTCTCTAGAAATGATGTCAGCAAATAAATATTATATTGGGCACAACATTTCGAGTAGCGGCCTGAGTGCTTAGATAGACCAAAAGTTCCCCCTCATGTCAGTGTCAAGACATTAATTTTTTCTTTTCACAAATGCTTGACTAAATATTCAAAGAAAATTTTAGATTGAAAATATTGTATATTAATTGTTTTAATTTACTTTCAGAGTAACAGTTTAGTTCATTCGATACCTACTCCTCTCTCCTCTGTTTCGACTATGAGATGGTTGTTTTTCAAGGTCATGGTTATGATGCTCCCATTGGCACTCTTGGAGGTGTGATTCGGTAAACTGCCTGAAGACGCTCCATAGCTGAGCAGCGGTGACTGGGATGTCACATCTTCAATTTCTTCAGCTGGTGTCACCGAAAATTGTGATTCGCTCGTCTTCAACTGCAGAATCGGGCGTCAATCCCATACAAACAAAAAATAATTACAAATTAATGTACTTTATTATTATTCGTTATCAGTAGATTTATTAAAATTTTAATGATAAACATGAATTATATTTCTTATACAGATTCAAATGCTATATTATTTTTCTCTCTTGTTATTATAATTTTATTAATAATTATTAAAATCTAATGTTTATATGGACTAAACTCATGCGTACGTAACAGATTAAGTTCTAAACACGTTACTTTTGTCATTGTTCACTTTCTTGAGTTTCTTCAAACATATCATTTTTTTTATTACTAGTGCGGTGGGACTAAGTTCCTTGTACTGCGGCCTCTTCTGGCTTATTGTACCAGCCCCAGAGGGTGATTGTGGAGCAATTGGTGGAATGAAGATTGACAGGGGAAACCGAAGTACTCGGAGCAAACACGCCCCAGCTCCACTTTGTCCACCAGAAATCCCACTTGACCAGACCCGGGATCGAACACGGGCCGCCGCGGTCGGGAGCCAGCGACTAACCGCTTGAGCTATGGAGCGGCCAAAACACATCGTTAAGGGATCAAGATTTTTTCTGTTGTGATACCGAAGGGAGATACTGATCTCCTTCGAGGCCGGCTCCTTCTGAACAGAACAATTTAGGAATTTTTCCTACTTTATACTTGAAGACGGAAACAGATATAATTTTCGAAACGCTGTGTTATAACACTCAAGAAGCTGGACGTTTTCCAGAAATGGTTACAGTGACTGTTACATGTCATTATCATAGGGCACATTTAGTCTTAAATTATGATTATTAAAAGGCGATTACAGAGTAAATTACAGTTTAACTTTACAATAATTTTTATATTTATATTTATTTTAGACACTGTTTCTAAAGAAAGAATTTTTTAAATATTTATATCCTGGGCATCAAACACAGGCGCCTACAGAATGAGAGCAGTGCTCTCAGTGAATCTGCCGCTACTTCATTTCATTTTTCATATATTTGTGTGACGTCATAATCCCTGCAGATATACGAGCTTATGTACGCACTTTCACAGTACAATGCTAGTTTTTGTTTCTCTCTCGTATTTAGTTCAGACTAGGCGCAGTAATAAAACATCATTAGCGACAGACACACACACTGACAGGCATAATCCTCTGTAAAGCATACCCCTGTGTATAACGGCTTATTTCCCTACTTCGCACGAATATGTGTCCTTTCTTGTTTCTACGGATATATTTCATTCTCGAAAGATTCACGGAGACTGCTTCATGGTGAGATGATCAACATGGCCGTCCCATTCTGAATTACAAGGCACTTAGAACGTCATATCCATATAACCTACTGGACTTTACACTGAGTAAAAGCTGTGATATTTTGCCTGTGGTTCTGTATGGGTGTGAAACTTGGTCTCTGGCATTAAGAGCGGAACATAGACTGAGGGTGCTGAGAATATTTGGACCGAAGAGAGATGACGTGACAGGAGGTTGGAGAAAACTGCATAATGAGGAGCTTCATAACTTGTACTCTTCTCCAAGTATAATTAGAGTGATCAAGTCAAGGAGGATCAGGTGGGCAGGGCATGTATCACGAATGGGGGAGACGAGGAATGCGTATAGGATATTGGTAGGAAAGCCAGAAGGAAAGAGACCACTGGGAAGACCAAGGTGTAGGTGTGTGGACAATATTAAAATGGATCTTAGAGAGATCGGATGGGATAGAATAGATTGGATTGATCTGGCTCAGAATAGTGACCAGTGAAGGGCTCTTGTGAACACGGTAATGAACCTTGGGGTATGATAAAATGCTGGTAAATTTTTGAGTAGCTGCAGAATTGGCGGCTCCTGCAGAAGGGCTCAGCTCCATGAGTAAGTAAGTAAGTAAGTAAAAGCTATGTGACATAAATATCGCAACGCTGACCTATTGATACTGATGCGAACTAGGAAGTAAAGTCTGGAAACACTGCTCTTCACAGCAAATTGCACCGACTACGACAAGGAAATCGCCGTGATCACACTACAAGTATTCACACTTCTCATGCAAGACCTGGAGAGTATGGAGACAGAAGAACTGAAAGCATAAAGTAATAATTAAAATAAATATATTTAAATTGAAAGTTAATTCATTTCTATTATTTCTTTTCATTTTATTTTAAATTGTTTTTTATTTAATAACTGCCAAAGCCCGAAAGGTCACTGGATTTTTCAATTGACCTAATCCTTCCAGCCGCACTATGGCTCTGTGGTCGACTCAGCCTCTAACAGAAATGAGCACCAGGATTCTTCCTGGGGCTAAAGGACGGCCGGCGCGTAAGGCTGATGACTTCACCGCCATCTATGAGCCTATTGTTTAAAGAAAATGTAGGAACCTCGACGTCTCTCAACCCTATGGGCCTTCACGGTCTGTTACAGATATAGCATTACTTCAGATTTGAAGAGGAAATTTGAAACCTAGACGTCGTGTTGCTCCTACTAAGGTGCTTTCAAAGGAAACACAACAGACCCTTACTTATTTAATTACTCATGGAGCTGAGCCCTTATTGAGGAGCTGCCAATTGTGCAGCTACTCAAGAATTTCCCAGCACTTTATGGAACCCGAACGTTCAGTACCGTGTTCACAAGAGGCCTCCACTGGTCCCTATTCTGAGCCATAACAATCCAATCCATACCATCCCATCCTATCTCTCTAAGACCCATTTTAATATTCTCCAACCACCTACGCCTTGGTCTTCCCAGTGGTCTCTTTCCTTCTGGGTTTCCCACCAATATCCAATACGCATTCCTGACAGACCCTTACGAACTTAAATTTACTGTCTCCCTTTTCTTATGTTGATACGTAACATACGGAGCCTTGCTCTACAACTTGGCAGTGGAAGTAGTTCACAGTTCACTAACTTCAACAGATAACGATACTAAACTGATAGCGATAATTTATAACACTTCATTAATCAACATATTGCTTTTGGGTTGTTTCTTATTTGTAAATATATTTTATACTTGCTTGTGTCTCTACAAAATATAAAAATACATATTGTTATATGGTGTTACACACGGATCCCTCCTTTCCAAGTGTAACCTGTAGTTTTAATGGGGTGAACACCCATGTGGAAAGTGCAGTCCGATAGAACCTTGAGCTTCACACTTCACATTTCTCCGTTCCCATATATTACCTACTTAATTATTATTCAGAAATAAAAATCTATTCGTTCAAAATATTCTTCACCGAGCAGATCGGTTTACATGTAATGCTTTAGGCTTATATTCGGGACATTTTTCCTTTTGCTAGTGGGGTGGGACTAAGTCCCTTGTTCTTCGGCCACTTCTGGCCTATTGTACCAGCCCCAAATAATAGGTGAGGGTGATTGTGGAGCAATTGGTGGAATGAAGATTGGTAGGGGAAACCGAAGTACTCGGAGAAAACCTGCCCCAGCGCCACTTTGTCCACCACAAATCCCACTTGACCAGACCCGGGATCGGACCCAGGCCGACGCGGTGTGAAGCCAGCGAGTAACCGCTTGAGCTATGGCGCGGCCTTATATTCGAGACTTACTCAATTCGAATCCCTGTCGTGACACTGGTAATTCTGACCGAAAATTTTCTCGTAGTTTTCTCTAGTGCTTCGAGACAATTGCACGATATTATATCGATGAGGCCATGATCCTCTTATTTTAAGGAGTCAAGATATCTCAGTCAGTATAGCGACGGACTACGGACTGGACAGCCGGGATTTCATTCCCAGCATGGGAAAAATTTCTTTGCGTTCTACAGTATCCAGACCGGCTCTGGGCTTCATCCAGCCTCCTATCCAATAGATACCGAGGTCTCTTTTAACGGCGGTAAAGTTGCCGGGGCGTGAAGTTGTCAACTCTCCTCAATCTAGTGTCTAGGTCAGAATTGGTGGAGGTATAACTCCACTACCCCATACGTCTTCATAGCGTCTTGCTTAATTAATTAAATATACGGACATTTTTAATTTGTCTTTTCTTCTAGAACCTTCCTAATTTTGAATTCACCTATTTTCCTACCCTCCTACATTGTGGAGTCTGGCATACGACAGCGATGTAAAATTAATCACAAGAAGATTCCGTATTTCCTTCTGGCCTCTGGTCTTTTCTTTTTTTAATATTCAGACGGATTCCTAAGGAAATTTTTAATATTATAATTTACAAATTTCTTCAAAATTATTCGTTTCCCGAGAGCTCCCTACTTTCTCTGTCTCCATTTTGACACAGTTCAAGATAACATGTGTTACACTTTCGGTTCTTCACACAGCGACAACTTAATTTTCTTCGCTTCCATTACCTTCAATATACTCCGAACCTACTCCGTGGCACTTCTCTTATTTCTTTTCTGGTCTAACATCCAATATATCACGTGTCATTCCTTGGGGACCATCAGATTTAAACGTCCGTAATGCAGACACTAGGATCAGGATTTTTGTGAAGTTCTCTATGAAGAGCACATGACATAAAAACTGTCCATCTCGACGTATCCGGACGCCCAGCCACCCACAATGCCAAAAGGACTGCTGGGGGGGGGGCGACATTACTAGTGCCTGTGCTCTCACTTCAGATGTGTGTCACATGAGTGCTGTCGGGAGCTAATAGAAATACAGCGGATAACAGTGGCCTCGAGGTCTAAGGAACGAACAGGCTTTGCTCTCTCCACACTGCGATCTTGGGTTTGAATCCCACTCGAGGCATGGATGTCTGTGTGAGTTTATACTGTTTGTGCTGTCATGTATAGGTAGCGAATTTGCGATGGGCTGATCCCGCGTCCAAGGGTCCTACAACCCTGTACAGGATTAAGAAACTGAAAAGGGGATCAAGGTCTAAAGGGCTATAGAGTCATAGAGAAAAATATAAAAAAATATAAAATTTATTCAGATGATTAGGACCCTGGATAATTGAATACGTATCTTTAAGTAGAAAAAGATAAATACTGCGTAACGAGTATGTAAATTTTCTGAATGGTGTAATGTCGTAATATGCATGAAATTATTCACCACAAAAATA